TCGCAAACACGTCAACAACAATCAGCTCTCAAAACAAAACTAAGGGCAGTATCGCACTGCCACTTGGCATGTCTGCCTAAATATGAACGGACTACAAGGCACCATAAACTTTTTTGCAGTAGTGGCGCATTCTGGCGGTCAAGGAGGTTACTTTTCACCCCATCTAGTAGTTAACGGTTACAAATATTCATCCAACGGTTTTACAAACATTCATATAGTGTTTCCGTGTGTTGGACCAGAGAGCTCTCATCTTACTTCCAGCAGCAAACAACCCGTACATCCAGCAAGGCCGGCACTATATACGCAATTAAAATTACGTACGATCGATGGGTACGCAACAATGGCTGACCCGTGCACGCGGACCGGGATTCGAATCGTCGACCAGCAAGCCTTATATTCCTGTACCAGTTGACACAGGCAATTGATCTGAGGATGCACCCTACTTCCCCGGCCGCTATCCAATGCAGCTTTCGAAAGGACGTCTCTTGGTCGAACTTAACTTTTCGAATTTATTCATGTACGCTTTTCAAACTACAACGAATTAATGGCAGAAAAACACCGCATTTACGGATACGAAAAGAATTTACAATGGCGGCACCCTGATTGCCAGTTAGCGTGACTGAAGCGCTAGTTGTCAGCACCAATCTCTTGTACGCACGGATGCACGCATTAGCACGTTCACGCGCGAATTTTTAAAATAGTAAACCTGTAATAGAGTTCTATCTTTTTATAAGTCTATTGCGAGTTCTAACGGTACATTTGTGAAGAGAGAAGTCACATCCAAAGAAATCATTATCCCCGATACATCTATTGTCATTCCAGTTAAAGATTTATGAAGTTCAAAGCTATGATTTATCTTTTTGAAGAAGGAATACTTTCCGAAATGATGTTTTGTCGGAATCTAGTTATGGGATATAAGGATTATATTTATGAAAGCCACACTGATTTTAAACGGAATACCATCTTAATTAACTTAGTTAGAGTTTTTAGCAGATTTGAGTCACAAGATCGGAGACTAAAAAGTTCTTTGACTGAGATAAAATCTTTTGGTAAAAATTCAGATTAGAGGAGGATCCCGCAATGACCTTGGCCTTGACATATGTTGTTAAGATCATGACTCTGAGTAATCTCTAACAGGTTTTAATCATCAGTCGCCTTTCGTCAAAAAGTTGTTAACAAAAAAAGTTCTGCCATATAAAACAAAAATTTTCTTTAAAATAAAAATAAATTTCCTGCTATAAAAAGTTGACAATAGTGAGGTGAAAAAAAGTTCTGCTATATAAAATAAAAATTCTTAGCTTTAAAATAAATTTCCTGCTTTAAAAAATTGATAGTAAGTAAAAAAAAAATTTTGCTATATAAAACAAATATTCTCTTCTTTAAATTTCCTGCTTTAAAAAGTTGTTAACAGTAAGGCAAAAAAAGAGTTGTGCTGTATAAAACAAAAATTCTTTGCTTTAAAAAAAATAAAGTCACTTATTCATATTTATTATTATTTCATATATATACTTTTGAGTATTTTTTTTTTATTATAAATTAAAACTACAAATTTTTCTATGTAAACTCTACATCCTTTTTTCGACTTTCTACGCGAAGCGATTTCTTTTTTTTTATTTTGAAGCAGAGAATATTTGTTTTATATAGCAGAACTTTTTTAGCCTCATAGTTAATAACTTTTTAAAGCAGAAAATTTATTCTAAAGTGAGGAATTTTTATTTCATATAGCAAAATTTTTTTTGTTAACTTTTTAACGAAAGGCGATCAATGGCTAAAACCTATTTTAGAGTCATGACCTTGACAACATATGTCAAGATTAAAGGGTATGCTCCCTTAATCTGAATTTTTACCAAATATTTTTTACCAGGTATGTAAATATGAAACCGGAATTTGCCAATAGCTGTCAATCAAGCAGTTGCCGTCAGACCGCGTCATTGACACCATTTCCTTGTTCTGACATCTGACAAAGATTTTCAACTCACAACAATACAAGTTTCATACAACAGTTTGTAATAGTATAGTTTGTAATAGCGTTGAACATGTCGAATTTTGTGCCTGGAAACTACGATTTGTGGACAGCATTAATTTTCTGTTACCATTTGAAGAAAACTGCTGCAGAATCGCATCGAATGCTTGTCGAAGCTTACGGTGGATATGCTCTTGGTAAATCAGAGTGCTTTGAGTGGTTTAAAAAATTCAAAAGTGGCGATTTTGACGTGAGAAACGAAGAACGTGGAAAACCACCGAAAAAGTTTGAAGACAGCGAATTGCAAGCATTGTTGGATGAGGATGACGCTCAAACTCAACAACAACTCGCGGATCAATTGAATGTGACACGAGAAGCCGTCTCTATACGTTTGAAATCCATCCCATTCATGGGAAAGATCCAGAAGATGGGAAAATGGGTTCCAACTGAATGAAAGACAGCAGGAAAACCGAAAAACCATTTGCGAAATGCTGCTCGCCACGTACAAAAGAAAGTCATTTCTCCATCGAATTGTGACTGGCGATGAAAAGTGGATACATTTTCAGAATCCTAAGCGTAAAAAATCATGGGTAACTCCAGGCGAACCATCGACATCGACTGTAAGGCCAAATCGTTATGAACGGAAGACAATGCTCTGTGTTTGGTGGGATCAGAAAGGTGTGATCTATTATGAGCTGCTAAAATCTGGCAAAACCGTTAATACTGAACGCTACCGACAACAAATGATCAATTTGAATTAAGCTTTGCGTGAAAAACGACTGGAAATATCAAAAAAGGCAACACAAAGATTTTGCTTCATGATAATGCACCATCACACGCAGCAAAACTGATCAAGGAAACGATTGAGGCGTTTGGTTGGGAAATACTTTCGCATGCGGCTTACTCACCAGACTTGGACTACTCCGTCCGATTACTACTTATTTACATCGATGGGATACACGCACTTGCTCAGCAGCGCTTCACTTCGTACGAAGATGTACGAAAATGGCTAGATGATTGGTTTGGCTCAAAAGAGCAACAATTTTTTTGGCGTGGCATCCACAAATTGTCAGACAGGTGGGAAAAATGTATATATAATAGCTAGCGATGGGCAATACTTCGAATAAAATATTTTTTATTATTTTTATGCAATAAACGTGTATTTTCTATAAAAAAATTCCGGTTTCATATTTACATACCTGGTATGTCAATTCCTGTACTTTGTGATTGTAAAGAAATAATTTCATGGCTACTGTCACATTGCCTTTGTCGGCATGTGGAAACATTTCTTTATTTTCTTTACACCATTGTGTCGTGTATTAACCATCTTATTAATTTTCATTTCAGAGATTCTCAAATGTGAATTATTGTAGAGAAAGCGATGAAAGCGATATTCCTAATTTTAGTTAAATAATCAATGTTATTTCTAAATAAGGAATTTTCAATATTTTTGATAAATTCCTTTATTGTGTGTATTATTGTAAAAGTCCGGAAGATTAAATTTTAATAGACTATGCTATGTAAATTAACGTCAGTGTGAACATAACTTTTTATCATTAAATTAATTATTAATTATTTAATTATAAATTGACATTTAATTATACAGAATACAGTAAGTAGTCATTGAAGAAATCCTCGATCGGATTGTCTTATTTTTTATTAAATTATGGACTGAGCTGGATTCTCGATAACAACCGAAGGATTAGTAAAACACATTTATTCTTCTAAACTTCTGACTGGATATCTATTTCGATCTTTAATATTCTAACGCTGGAATAACTTTGTAAAATTAGATTAGAGCGACAATTTTATTATGTATTACAATGTAATTCGTTGACTTTGTAAGGGATTATATAGAAATGTTATTATCACTGAAGAAGACTTTGTAAGTCGAAACATTTGATGAATTTTGTAGCCGTGTGCGTACGTAATTAAAAAACAAATTTTATTTTATTTTTTGAGATAATAATGTAATTGCTCATTTAAAAAATGCCTTGACATATTGATTATATTGCATGTATCTATTTTTCTATAATTCCAATATATTACTTTACTCACTTTCTTTAACAGTGATACCAACAATTAGGGTTGAGATTTTACTAAATTGATTCAATAACAAAACTTGATAATGATATAATTTTATGAAAATAACATTGGTAAAACTTCCTCTTTACGCAGCCAGCCTCAAATGACCTCCGAGTAATCTTGATCTTGACCTTGACCTTGACTCTTAAGAAGCTCAAGATCATTGACCTTTTCCGTTACTCGTTAGTAATTAAAAAGTTATTAATAAAAATGTTTTTATAAATAAGACACTTTTTCAACACAACAGACACATTCTAACATGAAGAATGTATTACATTTTATTCATTTCTTACTTTAAAAACAAAAATTTTTTGTTTTAAAATTGATTTCTTGCTGTAAAAACAAAAATTATTCGCTTTAAAATAGATTTCCTGCTTTAAAAATAAAAATTCTTTGCTTTAAAATAGATTTCTTGCTTTAAAAACAGTTGTTTTTATTGTTTACAGATAATTTTTGTTTTTATAGCAAGAAATCTATTTGAAAGCAAAGAATTTTTATTTTTAAAGCAAGAAATCTATTTTAAAGCAGAAATTTTTTTATTTTTAAAGCAGGAAATTTATTTTAAAATAGAAAATTTTTGTTTTTAAAGCAGGAAATCTATTTTAAAGCAGATAATTTTTGTTTTTGCAGGAAATAAATTTTAAAGCAGAGATTTTTTGTTTTTAAGCAAGAAATTTATTTTAAAGAAAAGATTTTTTGTTTTCAAAGCAGGAAATTTAGTTGTGTTGAGAGTATCCTATTCATAAAAATGTTTTCATTTATAATGAATAACGAGCGGAAAATGTCAATGATCTTGATCTTCTTAAGGGTCAAGGTTAAGGTCAAGATCATTTGACTCGGAGGTCATTTGGAGCTGGGGTGTAAAGGGGAAGTTTTATCTAATATTTTATTCGTGTGACTCTTCATTTTACTGATTTGATATAATATTACGATTTTTTCAATTTTCAGTTCAACTTCGATAATGTGTTCATGAGAAACGTAAAAGAAAAACAGTAGTCTTGATTAGTTGATATCCAGATTTTTTCTTCGATTTATTATGCAGCAACATGAGCATTAAAGATTGAAAAAAAAATATGTCGGACTCACCATACAAACTAATTTAAATGTAGTGAAATTTTAATGTTTTCACGTACACAAAAAATGACCGACGCAATCAGGAAGCAGAAATGTTTAATATGATCGCGACAATTAGAGTGTTCTTATTCTGCACGATTTCGATTACCTCACAGATTCTTGGAATTTGGTGCTACCTTGTAAAATCATCAATAATTCGATTATGATCTGTGCGAGGATACGTATCTGATCTTACTCCAAATCAAGTTAACTATCGCTCAAGGTATCACCACGAGATTATCCAAAAGAGATTTACCGTTCGCAAGTGAAAGATAAATTTGCATTCCAAAGTGTGCCTGGGAGAATCTTTCCGAATACAAGAGAAATGGCGTTGGTGAATTTCAGTTTGCCATATCAGTCGGTTACGATGGCACCGTTTCTTTACGCGAGCTCAACCGAGGGCTACACGACTGCTCATAGTCTTCATTTGAACACCATGTCACGATCGGGATCTACGATGATCGGTTACGATGAACAAGAAAGCTTTCGTAAGGAGCCCTATACTCCACCGATTAGGTACCATCAACATCAAGGTGGTCAATCTACGCAGAAGAATCATGAGGTTTATATGGAACACATGTCCTTTTCAACACAAGATACCCTTTACAATATGTATAACCAGGATCTTAGAAGCACGCGATCAAGGCATCAACAACAAATAAGACCGCCATCGCTTCCCTCATCATTTCAGTATCAGCAATCGCCTAAACACATTAAAACTCGAATAGAAGATCAACAAAATCAGCCAGAAAGACCTATCGGGTAAATGCATTTCTTTTCTTTTTCTTTTTATTTGTATATTTTCTTTTTATTTATATTTCTTATGGTTGTCTCTCGTAATATAAATATCTCTCTTTAACTAATAATATAATATCGTTTACGGTATTTTTAATTTAGATCAATGTCCAGCTAATGTTAAATATTCTTAAAATATTCGTAAAATGTTTCTAAAATCCTAAAATAGTAGATTCCAAGAATATCCCGAAATATTTTCAGAAAAAATAATATTAAAATAATCATTAAATATTCTATTTATATCGTGACATATTCGAAGAACGTTTCATATATATTTTGCAAAATTATAATTTTCTCAGTAATTTTGATCCGGTGATCCTTGAATAAATTTTTTAATGAAATTGTTAGAAACACATTTTTCTTATTTTCGATTAAAGCCAAATTTTGAAGACTTACTTCAAAAGCGAAATGCGCTATTCATATTTTTTCATGATTCTTATCTACGAATTAATGCATCTTCGCTACGACCCTTTGTCAATGAGAATGCGTACTGTTCGCAGAGTGATTTTCATAATATACACAAAAAGTGTTTTGTGGAGCGCTTGGAAATGTTAATAAAAAAAATTAACATAAAATAAAAAACCTTGCGTCACATAACAATATATTAAAAACACATATAAAAAATAAGAGCATAAAAAACCACAGCACAAGTTATAGTTTGTGATATTTAATTATTATTACATTAATTAAAACATTAAACGTTTCGGCCACAATCTGGCCATCTTCAGTAATTCAATAATATTCTTAAAACGCAGAGTTACATCTAGTTGACATTAAATTCAACAGTCGAGAGTTGTAATTAAATAAACATGTTCTTTTGTATGTGAAGATGCTTCATGCAGTAATGTTACACCGTCAATTGTCATATCAAGAAAAGTGTAGAACAAGAATTTCCAGATTCTAAATAAAATTGTATATATTAAAATCTTCTAGTCGGAATATAAAGAAATAGAATCATTACCTGTTTTACAGCAAAAAAACCAAACGATGAATCTCGGATATTTCTTTTACATAGTTAGAATTTTGTCGTGACATTATGTGTTGTTATTTGTCCTATCAT